CAACTTTAGGCTCCCCCCGCCCCCTTTTCCCTAATATAGACTGATTTAGGAGTTTTAGATGACGCTTAGCAAGTTTCTAATTCGAACCATGTTTATTTTCACTATTTAAAATACAAAGTTAATTGGTAGATCGTAGTTAATTATTTTGCCAATCAGTGTGCTTTCTTGCAATCTCTGACATCCCTGTGGCCGGCAGTTTGTTCCCGAAAAGACTTCTTTAGGGTTTTTTGAAAGTATACGCAAAAACAGCCGGTTTATCGTTTCGCTCTTTAAAGAGACCCTGCAAAAAACAACAACAACAACAAAAACAACAACAGTACTCTTTTTAAACAGTCTGGTTGGTACACGAGTGTCAAAAAGTTACTTTTACACAAAAAAGAAAAAAAAAAAAGGTTTTTAGAGCAGTATTGAAGGCACGAGACGCGACTTAGTCCGTAGCCACCTCCTTTCCACTTGTTTTCTCTCTTGGCATTTCGGGCGCGTGGAGGAGAGGTGGATCGGCTTGGCCATCACGTTGAGGTGGAGAAAGTCTAGGACCATCTCGTTGAGGTGGAAAGAGTGTATGACCATTCCGTGACGTCATGAACTTTGCGCGCAGAACTTAAAATAAATCTCGCGCCATCAGTATTGCTCTAAACATTTGTTTTTCGCGTAAAATTACTTTATCGACACGCGTGTCCCCACCAGACTGCTTAAAAAAACATATTTCTTTTTTTCTTTTCAGCGGCCTTTTAAGGCCGCAGTGCTGTATTTGCTACGCCAGGGAAAGGAGGCGAATGCTTGGTACCGATTGTGCACGAGTGCTGCTTCAGCGTTTGACTGGGACTCGTGCTGTCTTACTCATCGAACACAGGTTCCAGCGGAACGCCAACGCAGCACTTGTATCTCCCCGCGCTGGCGTCCGGCAGCCGACGTAGAAAATCCAGTATGAGATTTGGCAACGAAGCCATAGTCGATGACTGGATGACGTTTTCTGCCCGCTGTGCAAGGTCTCGTCGAGGTTGAAATTAGGGGGTCCAATGCGTAGAGGGAACCACTTCTGTGGGAGTCTTTTGTTTAGCTTTGCCATTACGTTAACGAGGTGACTACAGTAGGTGACAGGTTAAGAGTTCGGGGGAAGTTCCTCCTTTCCACTTTAGCAGAGTGAACCCTGGAGAGAAGGCGACCTCTCAGCTTTACTCTGCTAAAATGAAAAAGGGGTGAGAGGAGCTTCCCCCAAAGGCTTAACCTGTTACCGACTGTAGAGTTATTAAATAAGCTCCTGCGCCTGGTACGTTGCCTCTTAATTACCCGATTGTTTCGTGGGCGCCGCCATTTTGGTGCGTAGTACAGAGTAAGAGCAGTTGGTGATTCGATTCGAGAGGGCGACTTCGCGACCTCTAGATTCGCATTCAGGAAGTTCAGGGGATGTTATTTTCGTCTGCAACTAGCTGTTCTGACATTTTTGGAGGACGGAAGAACGTTTCCTACAATGTCGGATAAAACTTCACTTATCCGTCAAAGATGATTTTAAGCAGCAAAAAACCAAGACTGCTCAAGTATTCTTACTCTGAGGCGTAGCTGATTTAATGTCTCTAAGCGTGGCGATTGACAAGAAATTGTTTTGGTTCGTCAAAGCGGGCTCGTAATATTAGGGTTCCTGTTGTCAAGCGCTTGTACTTATAAATCAGGGTTCTCCAAAAGTATTGACTAACAAGCCAGATGAAAGATTTGTCGCAGTCTCGAGGACCAAAACATAAATGTGAAAAAAAAACTAGAAATAAATAAACATTAAGATACAAAATCTTAAACTATAATATATAATAAAAACTAGAATGTTTAGTGCATTGCTTTTCTATATTCATGTGTTTTATGTATTAATTTCCATTCATTGTGCCAGTTACGTGACCTCAAAGTTGTTCATAGTCATCATCATCATTTATTTTTCCTTGTAGGCCCAGGGAGCATTATACAAGGGAGTGAACACTTCAAGAACAAACCAATAACACAAAAATTTAACAACAAAAACACGGTGCAATCTAGTTATAGGTTAGAAAAAAATAAGATAATGGCTGCAGAAAATTTCTTAGTGTCAGATATGGAAACAATTAAGTTAGGCAGTGCGTTTCAGTCGTCAATGGCCAAGGGTAAAGTAGAAATTTTGTGAGTGACGGTTGACGATGAAATTGGACGGAGTTTACACGAATGGTCTTGACGAGGGAAAATGCGGTAAGGAGGCGATAGCTAACTTTGTTTGAGATGATTGTTGTAATAAAAGATTCGATGAAGAAGAGAAAGACGAGACATCCTGCGGCGGTGAGAAAGTGTGTCAATCTTCGCTGATTGGCGAAATCCTGAAATCCCGTAAGGGGAATAGTCGAAATAAATGAAACGGAGGGCTCTGCTTCGAACGGATTCCAGGTTGTCGGTTACGTATGCCTGCCACGTTGACCATATGGAAGAAGCAAATTCTAGTTTAGTTCTGACCAAGGAAGTATAAGCTAGTCGTTTTACTAGGGAGGTAGCTTGTCTGAGGTTACTGCGAAGAAATATGATAGTGCGGTTAGCATCGGCGATGACAGATGTTATGTGAGTGGTCCATGACAGGTGAGATTTCAGATGAATTCCTACGTATTTATACGATGAACAAGCAGTTATTGGGATGCTAGAAGGGTGGTAAGTGGAGGATAGAACATGCGAACTGCGGGAAAACGATAGTAAATTAGATTTATTATAGTTTAAATCCATTTGCCATTTCCAACATCACTGAATTATAAGTTCGAGATCGTTCTGCAAGGTTAGTTGATCGTGGCGTGAATGAATCGGTCTAAAGATGACACAGTCATCGGCGAACAAACGTACTGCAGAAGAGATGCCATGGTGGAGATCATTAATCTAGATTATAAAAAAAATGGTGCCAAGAACGGTTCCTTGAGGGACACCAGACGTTACTGTAGTTGTGGTAAATTTTACATTGTTAATAGAACTGTACTGAGTGCGATTAGTGAGGAATGAAGAAATCCATTTGACTACAAGGGAGTGAAGATTAATATCTTTTGGTTTCATTAAAAGACGTTGATGAGGGACCTTGTGAATACTTTGGAGAAGTCAATGAAGATGGCGTCAGTTTGAACATTGGAATCGAAATTTGAGTAAACATCAGTTAAAAATACTGTTAGCTGGGTTTCGCATGAGTATGACTTGCAAAATCCGTGCTGGTGCTTGAAAAGGAGGTTATGAGAGTTTATAAAGTTTATTGTGCTTGAATAGAGAATATGCTTTAAGAGTTTACATGAAACGCTGGTGAGCGAGATGGGACGATAGTTGCTGACTAGTTGGCGATCGCCGGTTTTATGAACGGGTATGACGTTAGCAATTTTCCAATAGGATGGAACTTCTGAGAGTTTAAGAGATTGAGAGATTATGTCGCAGAGGAAAGTGAAAGAAATAGGTTTAGTGTTTATTAATACTTGAAAGTTAATTTGGTAATCTCCGGAGCTGCAGGACACCTAAGGTTGATCGATCGCCTTAAGTACTCCAGTGCGGTCAATTACGATCTGATTCATAATACGGTGAATGGATTGGCACGAGTCGGGAAATTTAGCAAGTCCTCGTGAGTAAAGACGGAGCAGCAGAAATTGTTAATAGCAAGAGTGCTGTGTTTATCTGAAAGCGGAAGTCCATCGTCATCTACAAATTGCAATGAAAGTGATAGTGCCGGATTGATTATTTTCCAAAACTTTTTTGGTTTGGTGGTTAGTATGTTGGGGAGGTCGTGACGATAAAATTTGGTTTTTACATAATTAATGGAGGATGTATAAGCTCTAGTGCAATCGTGGTAGGTGTTCCAAAACGCCGTAGTGTTGACAGCCTTAGCCCGCTTATAGAGTTTTTTTTTTCCGTTGGATTGACTATGAATTGTCTTATTGTACCAAGGGTTAGTGTTATCAGATATAATACGGGTCGGTGGAGTGAAACGTTCGATTAGGTAGATCAGATTATTTTTGTAGAGAGTCCAGTTTACATAAACCGTTCTTTTCCAGAAGTGTGCTGAGAAAGTATGATAAAAATCTTCGAAATTCAAATTGATGGATGCGTAGTCAGCACTCGCGTAGATGCGAATAAATGTGTGTAATGTAGTCTGAAAGGAGGAGAGAGAGAGAGTTAAATCGATGACGAGATGGTCACTGATACCGGGTAAGTATACGCGATGTTACTGAAGAGTGAGGGGTCTTGGCTTAAGCATAAGTCGAGTATATTGCTGCAGTGATTAGTAATCCTTGTAGGCTGAGTGATAACATTTGAAAAGTTGAAACCTAAACAAAAGTCTATAAATTCTTGAGAAAATGCGCAACTAGAAGAGGGGGCAGACCAGCCAATGTTCGCGTGACTTAAATCGCCAAAGAGAGTAACAAAGGCGCTAGGATATTTGTGATTTCAGAAAGGCGTTAGGGTTTTAATTTCAGAAAGACACTTATATAGCTTGGTAACAAATTTTTTACCGCTATCTGGAGATCTGTAGCATACACCCGCTACTACGGGGGGCGTCGTAGCGACGTACTCCCAAACAACTTCCAAGTCGGTATGGATCGTTACACCCTGAGACGGAATTTGATTTTGTATAGCTAAAAGCACACCTCCCCCCTCCTAGCAGATCTGTCACACCTATACGCACAAAAGCTTGGGTCTATTCTATTCGCCAATTGAGGCTTTCCTGTTGTATTTAGAGGCAAAATTAGGTTTTACACGTACACCTTGCACTACACTTTTGTGGGGGCCTTTGCTTTTCTCCGAAACCCTAGCCCCGGGCAGATTTTGCGTATTTGCTTAGTCAAATTATGGGATATTTGAACGCGCGCATACCGAGCCATTGACGATTCCAGCGAAATGGAGGGCATCTAGCGGCTGGAACAAAAAGCTGCGGCGGCAGGTTCGTTCGCCGGCCTTCTCAGGCGAATCAGATATTCGCAACACCTGGCGGTCAAAAGACAAAGCCGCGAAAGTAGGTTAAAAAACACCCGATGAAAACCGCCAATAACTGTCACGAACGCAGGACCAACGTGTGCTCCTTCCGCGAGGTGGAACTGGTGCGAGTGCGGAAGCCATGCACGAGAGCCCGGCTGCAGATGACCAAGTTTCGGCGAGCGGACTGCCTCCATGGTCAAGCAGACTGCTTCGAAGTCAAGCCGAGGTGCACGAAGACTTTTTCGTTTTGTTCTTGCGCACGTGCGTTGGCAGCGATAGAAAATAACAAAAACGGAGGTTCGGGCGAGTTGGTTGCTCATGATATACAGGGGGAACAGGGCATCAGCAAAACAGTTTCTCAAGTTCACGAACACAAAAGAAAGACACAGTTACGCAGCGCTAATACCCCATTCACACGGTGAGCATAAAGGTACCTTTGGCATACGTCCCTTTGCTGTCAGCGAATCAGCCCGTGCTCTTGGGTCGCAAAGAATAAAGGTTCCTTAGATAAAGGTACCTTTACGGTTGTGTGAATGGCGTATCAACTCTTTGTGGGTGTATTTATTTTCGTCTTCGTCTTCTTTTGATATTAAGGACTAGAGCCATGGAGAATAATTTGGGATTTTCTTTCAATAGGAAGCTAAACCGTGAACCAAAAACTAAAATTCAAATAAATGTAAGGCTAGGTAGTCTAGTTCTCTATTTCCGAGGGTAAAATCGCTAAAAACAACGGACAAGAAAAAGAAGCGTAAAACACAGAGCGTTACTTGCACTCGGAAAACACACAGATATATATACACCGTGAAATCGCGACATGAGCTACAGAAATGCGACATCACCCAATCAGTGTTCGTCGCTATCTACTTTACGAAAGACTTTAAAAAGGCCCCCTCAGAGCCATACAAGGCTATCGATAGAGCGCTGACACATGTACCTTCAACGCACACGTGTGTCAGCGCTCCATCGATAGCCCCTCCCCCTTCCCCCCATAAATGCAACGGTCGGCTTCAAAACAGAAGCATAAGAACACCTTTGTTCCTTGTAGAGAAAAGGTGGTGCACTTCTTTCCCCTCTCCTGTGGAAAACTCTACAGAGACAATGAGGACGTTTGACTAGACCAGTGTCCCTATGCACGTCGAATTCCACAAATAGGATGGTATTGCGAGCTTCGTCACTCGCATCGTAGCTCGCTCTGATGGGTTTGTAAACTCTATGTTTTTTTTTATTTCACATAATTCACGAGAAATGACAGAAGCAATGTGACAGTGTAAGAAATCTGGAGCTTCAGCTCTCCCGAAAATCGGTTGAGGAGTTCACTCGCGGTAATCTACGGAAGGTGCTCGGCGAATGGCGGGGTTGATAAACCATGGTGTGCGATTTGGCGCTGAGCACTGGGAAGCGTCATGCTCAGTACCGCAACGCCGGCAGGTTTTGTTTTGTTTAAACATCACATGAACCCCGTCATCATTTACCGAGTTACCTCTTGCAGATTGCAGCGCTCTTCCAAGTGCTTTGCGGGAGAGCGGGCGCTCCACATTTCTCGGAGCATCTCAGTAAATTTGCGAAGCTGTATAAAGCTGAACAACTTGCTGCACAAAACAACCGTAGCCATTAAAATTCCATTTATGTCGAACAATTCATCACTCGACTCGACGATTGTCAAGTAGAAATTAAACCCCGAATTGTAGTGGACAGAGTAATTATTAAGTAATCGATATAGGGGGCCTCACAAATAGGTTTTCCTTTTTCTACTGTTGCAACATTTCAGGCACACGGGAATAAGACGTACGTTCTCTAGAATATAACGTGTGTTCCATTTTAGTTCGAACCGATTTATTAGGAAAAATCCGTAAAAGGTGCATTAATACAGTTTGTGCAGATGAGTTACACGGCCAGGGGGACATCATATATATGGCTAAGCTTTGCGACAAGTCTGATAATGAACTAAACTTCTTTAATTATCTTTTAATTAGTTGAAAATAAACTTATGTTTTCAATTAGAAAGATGCGTAGCGTAATCGAAAACCATCCTATCAGTCAATTTTTAGAACGACATGAAGCTCGTGGGACACTCGGGGGCGTGCCAAAGTTACCACTGGTGAAGCAGGCGCAAAGGTAGCAGTGGCGGAACGCGGATGATTAGATCGTTATCGCCTTCCGCAACTGCTAGCTTTGCGCCTGCCGCACGAGCGGTAACTTTGGTGCGGCCCCGAATTTCCCACAGGCTTCAAGTCGTTCTAAAATTCACTCGACATAAATATGCTCAATATGTTTCAAATTGACACCCTATACGTTTATTTCGCTAATTCCTAAGTTCATTCAGGAAGTTTAGTTACTTATCCGACTTATCGCAAATATTAGCAACCTATATAATGTCCCTCTGGCCGTATAACTCACCTGCACAGACGCACAAATCGTATTAGTGCGTCTTTTGCGAACGTATGTTTTGTAATAAATCTGTTCGAAGTAAAATAGAACACCCAGTATATAATACGCGCAATAGAAAATAAAATGCTACTTTTTGACGACTTGGGAGCACGCCAGATATGGCTCTCACGAAGCAATACACTAATGTTTTAGGTTGCCAAGCTACTTATTCGGACGCACCAGGAAGGCGAGGAACCGCCAATTCACGTAGCTAATGCTCTGACAGATTAATCCCAACAGTTGTCTTCAGTGTGATCTTTTTTTTTGGAAACTACGCTTAAATTACTTTTGCGCGAAAATATAATTTGTTCCATTTTAATTTTTACCCAAGCAACCAATAATGCATGGCTAAAATAAGCGTAAAACAGATATGCATGCTTTATTTGTTCGGTTGAATAAATGGACGGCGGACTACAACTTACGACTTACTACATCGAGATGTTTCGATAGCGCTCGTGTCTAAAACTGGCATTGCTCTTCACAAAACGTTCCGTTATGACTAATTCCATGCAGCAGACAGGCGCCTTCCAAACGTCATTCGCGAACAAGCTCCGAACCCTCATGGTGGTGTAAAAAGGGCTCACGTCAAGCGGGGAAAAACGCGGGGAACGTTTGATTGCACTTCCGCCGGCAAAGGAAGAGCAAGAGAGATCTCAGTGCCAGGACACGCTGCGAGTGCGTTTTTGGCTCGAAGAAGTGTAGGGTCGTGATATCCGCAACTTCGAAAAAATTGACGGCACCCAGCGCCTACAAGAAAAAAAAAAAAAAAAAACGAAAGCCGTTTACAACTCCCTGTAACGCCGAATTAGACTGCAGCTCTTGACGAGGAGGAGGGAAGGGTACTGAGGGGAGGGTATACAACTCCTCCTCATCTCCTCATCCTGCCTGCTACTCCTCCCTCCGAGCGGCGTCGGCGTCGCCGTCGCCGTAACCGTGAGGTCACGTGACCCTCGAGACGTCCCATGACCCCGCGCGGACGTTTCGGCACGGTGCCGAAACGTCGCTCGGTTGCGCCGACGGCGATGCCGCTCAAGCCGGAAGCGGGCGCCTAAGAGCTGCGCTCTAAAATCTGTAGCTGCAGATTCGCTCGCCAGCTTTCGCGAGTGAATCGGATGTTCACGTTATCTGGCGGTGTCTAAAGACGAATACATAAAAGGAGGTTCAAAAGCACGTGGCGAAAATCGCCAGTGACGGCGTAATAAAAGAACATATATACTGAACATATACAGATTTTTTAGGCTTCACAGATTGTATCACGTCGCACCCTGACGTCACACTGTCAGGTGACGTGCGTCACGGTGTCATGAGACGTCATAGTGTCACGTAACGTCATCCGAAAGATTCCTTTAAAGAACCTTTGGGATGACGTAACAATGTCTCTCGACGCTGTCACGTCATCGAGGTAACATGGTACGGATAAAAAAATCTTAAGGCTGACTCTAAAACATTCCTATGCACTCGTTCAGGTTGGATGGGCCCTCGACATTCGCGCGTATTTACGAGTGGACTCATTTGTGACGCAGAACGGTCTACTACACGGCGTACGAGGACGTCTTGGAACGCCGACACAGGACAAGCTACCGCTGCTGCCCTGGCTGGGAGCGACGCACGGACGAAGCTGGTTGTTGGCGTCGTAAGTGAATATCGCACGGCCGAAGCGGAAATCGTCTCGCTGATCGTGGAATAACATTGTACAGCCTGCTTGCGATATGGTGCTTCCCCAGAGTCGCTGATAGCTGAAGAAACGCAGGGTCGTGACATCTTCTGTTCACGCTTCTTGCCTCGCAATTGGTCCTCGGGCCTTCTTGTCTCATCTCTATCTTTTTGGCCGAGGAGCGATATTACGATGTTCGCGACACTCCGTTTGTTTTGATGTGACTGATTTGAATAGGAAATGGTATTTTCTAAACGTGTCTATGTCTTGACTCGCTCGTTTACTTTCGAGCTTCGACAAAGCACCTTGCAAGAACGGCGAATTACATCGTGTAGCACCATTCTTTAGTAGGTGGCTACTCTATTTATAGGTATTTCATAAACAGGCCAAGCTATTTCTTCCAAGTGCTGCATGTTGTTTCTGTTACATGTGGCAAACAGAAATATTTACTCAATTTTACGAGGCTCGCAAATTCTTTTCAGTATACAGAAAGTCTTGTATTTTGTAGTTAGAACAACTCGATGTGTCAGTTTTTTTCTTTCTGGCGCTTTTCACACGCGCAATGCTTTGTTTAATATATGTGCACTGACATTCTATTTGGGACTGTTCGTATCATGTCTTTAGCATCTTGTTTAGTATCTTGCGTGTGTTACTACCTATGCGTATGCTTTCTGTGTGTCTTTTTTACTTGATTTAGGCTCACTTCTTTTCACTCCCTTAGAAACCATGCTAAACGAAACAAAGATATCTATAAACAATAAAAAATGCAGTGTTTTTTAAGAACTGAGGGTCTATGCGGCAACTATACGCGCGTGGAAAACCAGTGATTATGACTTACGGCATTGTATGGCCTTTATGACGAATGCCAGCCCAGAAATCGGCACTCCAGCTTTGTTCGAATCCGACTATATGCTCTCGGAGGTTTCCAAAGTGCGAGGCTGCGGACGCAATTGTGATCCAGCCTCAAGCTCGAGGTAATCATCGGCAAAAGAAAAAAAGCAATAGACAATAAAAAAAAATTAAAAAAAGGATGGGGATGAAAATGTTCAGCAAACCGAGCTTTGAAGGACAGCCCAAAATAAACAGAAACGACACTGTTCCTTTGCTTTAACTTTTCCTTGTTCACTTTGGCTGAACGTAACCCGGAATTCCCAGTGTATTTTGTTTCTTTGTGCGCTTGAAAAACGAGTGCTAGCTGTCAGCGAGCAGTCAGGCGAAACCCAAGAGTTGTTTTTATTATGCCCCGGAGAATTCCTCTCCGGCGGACCTATTTCTGAAGACCCCGTCTGGCGTTTCTCCAGAGCCCTTCCCCACCGAAGAAATGAAATCACTCCGTTCGCCGCTTAGCCGACAGTGTGGTGGACGTTACGAGCTCGCGGAACCAGTCGTACACCTCATCTTTCGCCAAGTGATCATGATCGCGCTCCCGCCTATACTTACGCGCAAGAAAAACGTGGTCACGTTACGAAAGGGAGACGGCTCATTGGTCCGGCGAGTGCGTGGCTCCCGGCGCACTGTCAGCTTAGGGTGCAGGTTCTTTCGTATCCTTGACTGTGTTCTTTGTCCACCTTGCGTGTGTGTTTCCACGCTCCCTGGTTTCGCGCCCAGACCGCGTCGCTCCGCGCGACCATCGGTGTCCGGCGAGAATTGTGCTTTATGTGCGGTTCAGTCATGCTAACCCGGTTCAACTGGACTGCATTCTGGCTTCTCTGTGTCGGCGCAGCGGCGAACTCCGAAGCGAGCCAGTGTCTCAACGGAGGGCGAAGTCGGAGGCACGGCTCGCACTTCGGCGAGAGCGGTTGCATCTGTCCTCCGGGATTTCAAGGGCTCAGGTGTGAATTGGGTGAGTGATAGTAGCACTTTTTTTTTTAAACAGAGGATGGCTTGTGGGCGCTTCTTTTAAAACAAAATGCGTTTATGGGCTGGATTTCGTGAGCAGTGTAACGCTCGAGTGTTACGAAAAAGCGTTACACGCATGCCAAGACGACATTAGGGATTCATAGCCTCTAGCAGGCAATGTATAAGAATCCGAAGCACGTAAAAGGCATAATTGGTCATAGCAATGCATACACGACCATAACTAGGAACACACAAACGAAACAAAAGATTCACCAAGGGGTTCAACGGAAATCGAATCCCGAATCATAGGATTTGCAGTCCGTCATCTTTGCTCGGCGCCGTAAGCAGTTTCTTTTTTTCCTCTATTACATGATGTAAGACAAAGATACAGAACGAACATACACACACACACACACACGTAAGACACTAAAAGGCCTCAGCCAACTTGGCTGACGCCGGGAAATGCTGAAAGTCCTTTAGAGCAGAGAGCTCATCAAGAAGAGGCAACCGATTCGGCGCTGATCGCAAAGTTTTGAACAATTCCCTAAAAACACACGTGTTCTACAAAGTATTTGTGAACAAGACGCACGTCAATATCCGCGTGTCACACAGCCATACGGCACCACCATACGCTATGCAGGCTCAGAAGCAGGAACATGTCGTGAGAAACACCGTTTTCTTCTTCGGCGGCAGCTAAAAAATGTATGCCATTTGCTGTTAATGAGAGATCTTTTTTGAGCGTCCTTCGGAGGAGGTCCCAAAAGAAGATCGCGTCCAAAAATGTTTAGAAAGACGTGTTCAGGGGTCTCTTACTTTTGGCAAAAGATGCATTTGTCAGACCATGCCACTGGTATATCTTTTTTCAATCAACCAGGCATTGACTGAAAGTGCCTGACTATGCAACTTCAGAAAAAACAAAATTATTCGCGTTTTGTGTTAGAACTATATTTTTAACTCGTTTAAGCAAATCCTGCCCTACGCCTGCACTGTACGAAAAATTATACTTGCAAATGGAAAAAAGCAAATCATATAAATCTTTCGTTAGTCTTTTACGTGGCGCTTGAGACAAGTACACGAGCGGGAACCGCGTGACAAAAAAAATACAAACCAACAAATTCTTAAAAAAAAAACAAAAACAACTAGCATACAGACATTGATGTCCCTCTCGATGAAACAATAAAACCAGAAATCGCGCTGCTCAGCCTTACCTGAGGGGCGGTTCGCAAAAACGTATATTTTTGGTCGCGAAGAAAAATAAAGCGACTCACCAACTGCCTCACAATCAAATGAGAAGGGCCAAGACTACCAGCTTTGACTCCACGAAAAAGATTAGTGGGGCTAGGATACTCCCATACAAAGCACCAAATAAAAACGGCAAAAATACGATGCAAACTCTGTATGCCGATTCGCGAGCAGTGCAGCACCTGCAAAACGTACCAAACTTTGGCTGCAAGGAAGGCATTGCAAACACCCGCTTGAGTGAAAATGGATACTTCCCCCCCCTTCCCCCCCCCCCCCTCCAACTTTACCAACTTGGTCACTTTTGCGCGCAAAGCTTCAACTTTAGCGCGCCGATACTTGTATTTGGCACGGTAGTTTTTAAGGGGAACCCCAAGATATCGGGATGGTGATTCGCTCCAAGCCAAACGTTCAAAGACAGCCGGCGTGGAAAATCAATCGCCGTGCCTCAAATCTAAAAACTTTTCGCCATTAACAGAACTGCTCGTGTTGTCACAAAACATTTCTGTTAGCTCTAAGGCTTTTACGACGAGTTCTCTTTGTACCCACAAAAATCACCACGTCGTTTAAAATACGCGCTTCAGCAGATTTCAACTTAAACCAAGGAATAAAATTCCCCAGAAAAATATTTAAACAATATGGCTCTAGAAAAATACAAAAAAAGCAGAGGCGAAAGTAAAAAAGCCCTGTCGCACCGAAGGAACAATTCGAACGCGCTTGATTAGACACTTGTTTAGAAGATTGATCGCACAGTTTTAGTACGCCATGCGCACACCATAGGACAAAACGCAACCTAAATTGGCATGGTTTAATATAGGAAAAATAATTCATTCGACACACAGCTTTTTCTAGATCGACTTGTAACATTGCGACCCTTCTAACGATAGCGTCGCAGCTCACCAAGATACTTTGGGCTGTATGTATGTTTGTTAATATACTTCGTCGTTTTATTCCACACGCCTGGTGTGGGCCCACAATAACGCTAATAACTGTTCGCGAAAGCTCCGCTTAAACCTTCATAAGAATCTTACTGTCCTCGTTTGTTAAAGTGATCGGGCGGTACGATCCAACAGAAAGAAGTATTACGGAATCATCACTCTGGGGTATAAAAATTGTGTGCTTGCACAAAACCGATGGAGGCTAAACATTTAAGTCTGTACGCTTCACTAAGGACGCAGTGCAAAAAGGGGGCAAGTTGCTCTCTGAACGTTTTGTAAAATTCAACGCCCAAACCGTCGGGTTCTGGCTCTACTGCAAATTGTCGATCGCCTTTTCTACTTCCCATAACTCGACGGGTGGCCCTAACTTTTCCTTCAAGTCACCCGAAAGCCTTGACGATAAAGGTAAACGAAAGGCTACAAACCGATCCTTTTTGCATGCGCAATAGCTAAAAAGAAGTTTTTATAATAGTCAACGAGAGCGCGTTCGACGATATTATTATCGCGCGACAAAACCCCTCGATATAAAATCTCGCCGCTGGCCTTTCTACTGGCATAATTCTTTTCCGCCCCTGTCGCCCTTTTCGTGGTCATCTCCCCGAGCGATAGCCGCTTACACCGCGCACGTGTCATGGCCTTCCTATTGGCGACTCCGACTGTTTAAAGGGGGCAGCACTCGTTTTTCCAAAGGGCGGTTATAATGAGGGTCGGAGATGCGTGCTGGTATACCAGTTGCTGAGCCTGTCTAGAGTCCTGGTTTCACTGAGCGAAACATTATTCCCTCTTATGCGAGGAAATTGGGGTGTAATGCACAAAAGTCTCCACTTCATCAAAAAAAAGAAAAAAAAAAAAAAAGATGTTTAGCGTGATATTTACACTAGGACGCACGTTTCAATTCAGGAACGAAACCAAAACAAACCTCTATTTTGGGTTTTGTTTTTCCATTTAAGTGCTAATTTCGGTTTCTCTCCTAACTCAAGATGTGTCTAACAGCATAATTGTGGAGCTAAAGAAATTGTTCGCTGAAACTTTATTTCGTAATATGCGTGTCCAATGCAGGCTCTTAAAAATATTTGGGAAAATTCAATGTTCCTTTTAAGGTGTATGGAAATGAAATTTTAGGGCTCATTTTATTGCTTGGTTATATACCACGTCACACCAGCACCTGAGAAACATCAGTCTTTCGTTTGTAAACGCAGAAAACATAACTTTAAAACAAATAAAACGAGTTCCCATTTGCTCCTTGTGATTAAGGAAGGGGGGGGGGGGGGGGGGGGGTCGAAGCCTGGTTGGGGGATCGTGAGGTGTTGCTCCTCTCGCAGTGACGTCAGCTGTGGCGGTATACAGCACTCGCACAGACACCCTAGCGGTGAACGCAACGACGGAATCATGCTGCTTCGCGCGGCGCGTGATTCTTTTGTTACCGCGGAATTGTTTCTGTGCTTGTTCATCACGTCTGCGTGCAGGATGCCGCGCTATTGCGTGGCAGAGGACTGTGGAAACAGCGTGCTGAACTGTGAGACGCCGACCCACGGGTTTCCGAACGATGAGGAATTCGGAAGCGTGTGGATCCGTCTCGCGCGCCCGTCGTCTCTCGGACGCCGGTGAAACCCCATCGCCTGTACGGTGACCATTTTCGTGATCAGGACTATGAAAGGCGACCCACTGTCCTTAGGAGTCTGGGTCTTCCTACCGAGAATATTAGTTTGCTACCAGGGGTTGTGCCGACTATTTTATTTCAATTTGTTTCTGTTAATGGCACTCGCAGGTGACTTCTGCTGTCCTCCAAGGTTCAGTCATAGGTCCTGTTTTTTTCCCAATCTGTATTTATGACCTTCCAGCGCACGTCTCATCCTCTATTGGTCTGTTCGCCGACGACTGTGCAATATACTCTTAAGTACCTAATGATTCTGACGTCCAGTCACTTCAGACTGACCTTAACAATGTTTCTTCCTGCTGTGATGAATGGAAAATGAAACTTAACATTAACAAGTGTATATACGTGAAAGTATAACGTCAAAGTCTTTCTAATCCTTGTTACCAGATCTGAAGTTTTGTATTAAGTTCTGTATCTTCATATAAATACTTTGGCGTACACATAACCTAACGTGAAACACGTATAGTAAATATGTAGCTAATACTGCTAACCGCATGGTCGGCTTCTTTAAAATTAACTTCTGTCTTGCACCGCTGTCCGTAAAAGTGCACCTTTATAAATCCCTAGAACGCAGTAAGCTCGAATACGCAGCCACTATCTGGGATCCTGCTAAAACTCGCATAATCACTAGAAGCCTTTCAAGATCGTTCCGTTCGTTTTATACTATATAACCATCATCGCATATCGATCCTGACAGCAATGAAAAAGCTTTAGGGCTGCCTGACCTCTTCCTCCACAGAAAAGTATCCCGGCTTTGCTTATTTCATAAGTAAAGCCGGCCACCATAACCCTTCATTACATCAGCATCTCTTAACACAACCATCTTATCTCTCATCGCGTGTCGATCATCGAAATAAAGTTGGTGACCCCCGTTGTCACTCATCAAGTTTCAACCAGTCTCCTATACCCGCTATATTTCTAGATTGCAATCGCCTTCCCGCACCTATTGCTGACATAATCGAAAGCGCCAAATTTAAAGATGCCATTTTTGAGTTTTTCTTGTGTTCGGATTAAGAGTTTTTTAATTTTTTACATTTACCTGCGTTTAAATACTTTTGTGTATGTATTTAGATGCTTTGTTTGTTTTATATTAGTCTGCCTATTTTTTGCGTGTGCAGTTTAGCTGCTTTTTGTCCCTTCCCCTCTTTAATGCCTTCGGGTTCTTAGGAA